CGAAAAAATATGTTAATGAGAAATTTGACTTTCTAAGTCAAAGTAAAAATAATTTTCATAGCTATATAAGACATATAGCCAAAGCAAGCTGTCTTTATACATATAGAGAAACAGCACTGAGTATACAAATATTTTTCTCTGAAAAACTGATTAAACATTTTAGAGCCAAGGCATATATATAGCCAAAGCAAACTGCCCTTATAGGAACAGCAATGAAAATAACACTGCAACGTTATTAAATATCCCAAGATACCTGCTAACACTTCGAACCACTCAGCAAGGTCAAACAGTGCAGACAAAAAGTGGCGCTTTTCTTTTCATAAGCACTGCCCGACGATGCTAAATGATTGAAGTCTCACAGAGACCTTGGAAAAATAATAAAGTTACAATGCCACTGCCAATGTTGTCTCTTAATCTGACACCAACATGCATGCACAACCCCCTCTTAAGTTAACAGAGTCAGAGAAAGAGAGAAAAAGACGAAACAAAGTAAGAACCTATGGGATTATGTTTGCCATTTGAGGCTATAATTTGTATATGTGTGCACGTGTTTGTCTCATAATATTACGACCTGCATCCAGATAAGCCAGAAATTACTTGAGAAAAGCGTTCCAAGAGATGGAACAAGATAAGTAAGAACCTAAGGGATTATGCTTCAGTGCCATTTGAGGCTATAATTTGTATGTGTATATGCACAAAACAGTGTTCGTTTTATAATATTTCATCTACATTTGGATCCACTAATTACCTAAGAATAGTGTTTCGAGAGATGGGAAAAAAAGAAAGAACCTATGGGATTATGTTTGCCATTTTAGAGGCTATAATTTATATGTTTTTGTGTGCAAAACAGTGTTTGTTTTATAATATTATACAATGTACATTTGGAGCCAATAGCGTTCCGAGAGATGGAACAAAGAAAATAGCAAGAACCTACGGGATTATGTTTGCCATTTGAGGCTATATAGTTTGTATGTGTATGTACAAAACAGTGCTTGTTTTATAATATTACAATCTACATTCGGAGCAACAAATTACCTAAGAATATAGCGTTCAGAGAGATGGAAAAAGGAAAAAGCTAGAACCTACGGGATTATGTTTGCCATTTGAGGCTATATAGTTTGTATGTGTATGTACAAAACAGTGCTTGTTTTATAATATTACAATCTACATTCGGAGCAACAAATTACCTAAGAATAGCGTTCCGAGAGATGGAACAAGGAAAAAGCTAGAACCTACGGGATTATGTTTGCCATTTGAGGCTATATAGTTTGTATGTGTATGTACAAAACAGTGCTTGTTTTATAATATTACAATCTACATTCGGAGCAGCAAATTACCTAAGAATAGCGTTCCGAGAGATGGAACAAAGTATGAACCTATGGGATTATGTTTGCCATTTGAGGCTATAATTTGTATATACTGTACAAAACAGTGTTTGTTTTATTTAATGTTTTAATATTGCAATCTACAGTTGGAGCCACAAATTACCTAAAAATAGTGTTTCGAGAGATGGAACAAAGGAAAAAGCAAGAATCTATGCCTATGGGATTATGTTTGCCATTCGAGGCTATAAATTGTAAATGTGTGTATGTACGACAAAACAGTGTTTGTTTTATAATATTACACAAATTACCTATAAGACTATAAGACTTAGCAGGTTAACAATAATTATAGCGTTACGAGAGATAGAACAAAGAAAAAGTAAGAACCTATTAGTATGGGATTATGTTTGCCATTCGAGGCTACAATTTGTATGTGTATGTAAAAAACAGTGTTTGTTTCTATAGTGATTATGAAATTATCTATTATTGAAATTCTAAGCACAGATACCTTTATATAAGAATAGTGTCCCGAGAGATGGAACAAAGTATGAACCTATGGGATTATGTTTGCCATTTGAGGCTGTGATTTATGTTCGTGTGTAATTGTGTATGGCTTTTTAAGCCATTTCGTATATGAAAATTCATGTTTAAAAGTTGTGACGTATAATCCTAGTTTGAACATTTAACTTATCAACCTAAACCTTAGCGCGTAGCCCTAAGCGCAGGGAGCAGCTCTTAAGCGCAAAGCCGGATCCTACACCGAATTGTTACTCACATATACACATGCATCATGCATTAATTATGTTCCTGGTGGTCACTATAGGTAACTGAATTATAACGTTATGTTTATAAAAAATCGTGTCCTTAATACGACGAACAATGAACTTCTGCTTTGCAGAAGAATTGTGCGTAGACTATTTTTCGTGCAAATCACCTAACCCTAGCATGCACATTTTTTGACCACCAGGCTACTCTAACCTTTAACGATGTCTGGGACATTGCCGATTCACGCTGCTGTTCGACGTTGTATCGTATTGTGTCGTTTGGCGTCGTTTCGCGTAGTTTTGGCTTGACGTCGGCTTGGCGTCGTTTTGGTTCGTTGCATGGTTATAGCTTCAGGGAGGTGAGTGATTTATATTTCATCAACCTTAAATAGAATGAAAGATAAAAATAAGAAACTTGGTTTCTCAACATACGAGGGAAAACAAAAGAATAAAAATCGTAACGCCATGCATTGATTGAAATTTGAAGGGGAAGCGTGCATGACGACAAGGCAAAACAACTTCATTTAAGCATTGCAAAAAACTCCTCTACACCGTTTTAAAACATTTTAATGAAACGCCGCCTGAAACTTTTTCGTCCAAAAAATAAATTTCATTCTGCTGACCAATTTATAGGCATGCAGTGTTCTTAAAAATCATATATAGACATGCCAAGTTTTTCTTTATTCGCCGAGCATTTTTAAAACTCTAAGGCGACAAAACAAGCTATCCTTATAGAGAAACAGGATGAATACAAATCTTTTGCTCTGGAACACTAAATCATGCTATGATGCTAAGATATCTGCTAAGACTTAATACCATGCCCTCGGGAAGGTTAACAATACAAAGGACAAAGTTTGATTTATTGAAATTGTTGAGGGGTTAGATATATTATATATACTCTTCCCTCATGCACGTATTCATATGCTTTGCAAACGAAATTTGCGATTGTGCACGTTCGTTGTCACTGTGCATACATGTATAATACATCCTAAACGACGCCTATAGAACACCTCGAAGCTGCAGAATTTCAATTGCTTCTTCTCTTGCCATTTATGAATTATATTACTAATATATTAGAAATCTTAAGCTCCCTATATTGTTCGCTCTACATCTAAAATGCTCAATTGCTTCATACTTACATTTTAATCTGAACAGGTTAATCGTCGTTTCAAATGGCTTTGACTCGCTCAATCTCTACCTGAAATAACAAAGGTAATGCTTGTTATAGACGGTAATTTCAATAAACATGCAATATTCAGTTAATATAGCACTCGATGACGAGGACACAGAAACCGATCAAGGCTCAAGCAACATTTCAACTTCTCCCATCCTCGTTAAAGGGGAATCAAATAAGACACAAATAGACGTGTACCTGTTCATTTTAGCAATTATTGCAGACGAGCAGCTTTGGACTTGCTGTCTCCTTAAACGCGAATCATCTCGGGCAATTTCAGCCGTTATGGATGGCGAATTTCTTGCCCACGGCATTTCTTTTAGTTTCACTTTAGCTCAAAACTCTACCTGAAAAGAATAGAGGGCAATTATTAGTTTCTTGCAAAGCTTTCAGAACTTAATTGAAAGGTATAATTTGTTCTAAATCGAAGGTTAGCGGCTATACGATGCAGCTATACTGCGCAACATAAAACGCCCATAAGTTCACAGATTTTAGCGCATATATTACCTTTTTCATTTCACCAATAAGCTCCGAGAAAAAGCTAGTCGTGCTCTCTCTTCAAAGGCGAGTTATCTTGAGCCATTTCAGCCACAATTCATCGGTCATCAATTTCTTGTTCACGAACTTCATCGTCTAGCTTGGCTTCAAATCGTCAGAATCCTGTGTGAAATGAATATTAAAAGCAACGTCAGTGTTATAAGTACACCTCGATCTTTGGGCATTACACGAGGTGAACGTGGCCACGTGGCGAAACATTCGCCCAAATCTCTCAATAAAGCAAGCAGATAATCGTGAAGAAAAAGGGCATATTACCTGCTCTTACACCAACGACAGCCCGTCAAAGATACTAAATTTTTTTCTGTAGAAAGACGGGATAGTTGATAGGTATATTTCAGACGAAATATTGAGCATAAAATTGACTTGTCTTTATCCTGTGAAGCCCACTGCTCAAATGATACCTCGAGGCTCAAACAGGGTTGGTAGATTAAATACAAATTAGCCTAACATTGTCAGTTGGCAGGCCTTTGTTTGTTTTAAACAGAGAAAACAAAAGATTATGTTAATTTGACTAGTTTATATCCAGTAATCTACAAGCAATCTGGCGTCAAATTTGAATCTGAGCTGACACGTCATTTTGCTTGCTTCTCATGATGAAAATAAAGCCAAGCTATTGGCAGACATACCCATCCTGACAGCTCAACAATGCTTCTGATTGGATAATCTTATTATTTTAAATAATATGATTAATTCTTTCTCCTGAGCAGGAAATGATTGACATCAGAAATGAAAGCTTTTGTAATATAAAAATCCTATAACAATAAAATCAGTCAATCGTTTGTTAGGCCTAGATTATACGTCACATTTTGGTCGCGTCGAATGCAATTCAAGCAATAGATGAGATGATAAACCTCATTAAGCTTCATTATCATCCAAACAGCCTCATTTTGTAAACACTAGTTAAATATGAAATATGCACTGTTTTTTCCAGTTTAATGACACTTTTGTGTCACAAACTTGTTAAATGAAATATATGGATCGCCGAAATTTTCGAGCAAATAATTTTATGTTTTTTTAACTACAGTGATTATACGGAAGGTTCTCGTGCAGTTTAATATTGTAAAAAGGGCAGCAAAATTATCAAAAAGAAGTAAAAAAGACAGTAAAATCACATAATCTTTATTATCATTAAATATATATATATAATATACCCAACATCATTATAACTAGTCGATTACGGTATCTATAATTATTTACAATAAATTACTAGTTGTTATATGAAGTTGATATTAAATATTTGACATGCACCGAATGGCGTGAGCGAAGTTTTATTTAGTTTCGAAATATCCAAATGCAAAAGGTCCTATAGTTGTGATAATAATCACAAGAAAGTTGAAATATACACTGTAAATATTATGAATTTTCATTGGATGCTTGTTAAAAACAATTATACAGTAGTCGATTACAAAGTATTAAAGTGCCACCGTTTATGTCAGTTTCCCTCACATGTACATGATAATGATAAATTTTGCATGAAGTTGAAATATCACCAGAAATTTGTGTCTTTTGTGTTTGAAGAACTCGACCTTGGGATTTTATTCGGAGTTTGTCTCGTTCTACAGCTTCTTTATATTTATATGACGCTCAAAATTGCATGAACGAGAACAAAGATGACTATTATGCACGTTTCATGTCGCTATGCCTATGCCTGTGTCCAGGTTTACCTTTGCAGGTAGACGCGTTGTTTAAATATACAGGTTTGTGTAACCAATCCCTTTACATTTAATGAGATTTATCTCCGGTGTTGATTTCTCTTTGATTATTTTAAAACGAACCTGCAAAATGAAAAAGAAGAAGTGGATGGTGATATTTGCAGTGTACGCATGCATGCAAAATTTCTCCCTACATGTAGGTTTGGATTTATAGATTTGGATTTCATGTTATCATCAGCCAGGGCACTAAATAGAGGCTTCATTCTCGTGTCAAACATGCATGCGCATTTGTTTGTAAGACGAGTGAATCATCAGAACGTACTTACGTTCTTCGCGGAAATACTTGCAAAACAAATTTCTTCAACTGAGCTAGACGATGACTTTATTAGAACGTGTGTATGATCAAAATGATTTGTTGAATATCGCATCCTAACAACACATATTGTACCTTGGTTATTTCCCTAAGAGCTCTCAGTGCAGCCTTAGTCTTTGACGTTAAAGGTCCTGTCTTGACCACAGAATTTCCTTTCGCCAGAGCCATTGGAACAATGACCTAAATGCATAAATATTTTAGCTATAACGGGAAAGGTTAAATCTAATCTTGGGATTTATTTAAATCTAAAAATTGCCTGCGACTAATATATACACTTGTTATCGTGCATGCATGCACACTTATAAACTGGTATAATTAAAAGTTATAGACAATCATAGAGAAGTCATCGTACCTGATCTTGCATCCAACTGTCCACACAACCTCCTGAATTTATGTTATCCATAAGTTCTTTCATTGCGATCTCCACAACACTTTCTGTTCCGACGCCTACGATGGTATTATCACAGTTGATTTTAAAAATAGACAATTTCAACTAGGATATATTATTACATACATGCAGTTCACGTTAATTCAGTTAAAATTTCAGCTAGGATATGATATATTCATGCAACATACACTTAGTTAAAATCAAAGTTTAATGCAATTGCATAAGGATTATGCAGTTATAAGACTTTACTGCACCTTTTTTCCACAATCCTGAACCAGAAAAAACACATGACGTTGAAGTTTCGGCTACGATTCTGAAGATTGACAAAGGGAGGCATAAATGTAACATAGAACATCTCTGCTCAACTCTTAATGCCAATTCATGAATTCACCACTTGCATTCACTCACAAAATCCCTTGACCCATTCCCTCCGATCTGCTATTGGATTCGCGGACAGAGTCTATCATGATCGGAATGTCAGTGAATATTTGCTTCAGGGACACCTGAGCTTTTTTTGCCATTATCTGGGCTATCTATATGAAGAGATGAAACCAAGTATATAAATCTCTTTAGTGAATTATACAATCTGATTACTTGGTTGGTAACTTATGTCAACATGTAATGCACTAGTTATTAATGATACATGACTGCAAATAAAGTAGATCATAATGACTATAGAGAGATACCTTGATAGGTTTGTCACCAGCAACAAATGCTCGACCTGTGATCCTTGTCACAACACCGGGATCAGTCATTTTTATGCTATTAATATACTCAACAGGATTTGATCTGACCACAACACTGCCTCTTCCATAGGGCAAATATCCTCTATATAGAGTAGAAACAATTGTAGGTGTCAGCAGGATTATTGTCTACATAGATGCATTGATCACTGTTACACTGGTTTAAATAATGAAGGCAATCACTACATATGTTGGTTGGTTCCAATGTCTCAACACTCCAGTGTGCCTAAGTAGTGATAATAGGGGTGGTATACACTGTACACCTGGTTGCCATGACCTTATTAACTTCAATTTCAATCTATATATGCAAGCACTTTCCATTACAGGTTTCACCTCAAAAGTGGAAGGAATTTCAAATGGAATTTTATATTACTTTCACACAAAACCATGCAGAAGCAGGCATTGCTGGTTTTGCAAGTTCGAAACCTAAATTAAACCTCAAAGCCGGGATAATATGGAGTAAATTGAACAAAATTCCAGTTCAATCTTTACAAAAATACTGATTCGATGAAAGTGATATACAGGGAATGGACAATATGTGTGCATGGACATTCTCATTTTTAAAACACCTGTTAATTTTTACCTTTTCTTTACTTCAATATTAAATGATATTCCAAACTGATTCATAATTGGCTGATATACCTGGTGCGAAAACAGAAAATACTTGCTAAATTTTTGACAAATTAATCTGAGACCAGCTACAGCCACACATGATACTGGTTCACCACAATATAATACTTCTCAACTTAGAAATCCACCCTGTACTTATGTATTAATGGGCCTTATATAAATATCAAAATTATTCTTAAATGCATGATTTCAGTGAATTTGTACCGGTACAAGATATTTGAGAGACAGACTGCTGGAAACTCTAGTTCTGTTGGTTCTCATTTTTCTAGATGCATATGACAAAAAATCAACAGTACTTTACCTTTGTTATATGATCAATATGCAAGCCATCATAAGTATATGTTGGTCCACTTAGAAACAGGACATTGCTGCGCCCAATATGGGGGTCTGGTACAAACATCAAGGAAGGTATTGCATAAGGAATAAGATCACTAACATTTCTGGGAAATATAGAAGATTCACAGAATCAAAATCAATCTACACCTAATGTTGATAGGTATTGAGGGGCGAGTACAGTATCATGTAAATGATCCTCTGTGTGCTTTAAGCACCTCACAAAAATGACTGCTACCTTAAAAGCAGCAGCCATTCTTGTGTCTATGCAGCATCTGAGCTTTGGTGTTGCCAGCACCTCAGTGGATCAACTGCTTCTAATTGCTGATGAGCAACTAGAAATTGTTTTCCTCTAAAGTAGTTAGATTCATTCATTTCCTATGTACTTATTCATGCATTTGTTATAATATATAAGGTCTTAAAATATAATGTTCCTTGTTAATAATATTCTAATGCATTACATCATGGCTCAGCATTATTCTTCATTAGACAACAAAACATTTTGTTACCCAAACTGGTAGGCATCAATGTAGTAGCGTCCAGACTGGAGGTCGGAAGGTAAGAAAGTAAGAGTTGTTGATCCAGTGGAACCCGATAATGTGCCATTACATATCTGTCTGAGTAACATCAAAGCTCGCATTTCATTGGCTGGGATTCCACGGATTAGCGAATTTCTACAGACATTTGTCACTCGAACTGGCACACCCAAAATACTGGCTAATGATGCAACATGACAGATAAAGGACTTCCCCTGGTAAAATTGAAAAAAAAAATCAAGTAAACATGGAAGGCAATTATATCCCACATACAAATATGTTGATATACAATATCTTCAACAGATAAATTTTGGGACAAAAAATGAGTTAAATACTACCCACTAAATATAATTACATATACTGATATGCACTCTTTTAATGTGTTATACACTATTATACCATAATGCTATGGAAAGATAGGACTGATAGGTAATTTAAGGTTGCATGCACAGTGTGCAAGGGGATAATAGAAAAGAGGGTGTGAAACTGAGGGTTATACGTCCAACAAACCTGTTTGATTTTTCTTGCATCAATGTTCACAATCCGCTCGTCAATTAATCTCCAAACTGGACGTATGGTCTCTTTCTTAGAAGACCCTCGTAGCATAAAGTATGAACCAATTTCTTGGTCATAAAACTTTCTTGTCTCTACATTTCCAAGCACTCCATATGCTTCAGTAACATCTGCAAAATATTTACCAGGCGTTATTGGCTTTATATTGCAAATAAATTGAACCCACAATTAAACACCTACAGTATGTAGGCGATTCACACCTACGACAACGTTGCTTGCGCCAGAATGCCCACAAAGCGTATTATTCAACGACAAATATGTATCAATGAAAATTACTTGAACTAGTCATAGAGTCGTATTACCATTTACGATAGCATACAGTGTACTTCAACATATATTGTACCTCTAAAAATCGCTTCAGCCTGTGCACCATCACTTGTATCAGGGTGATATTTTAATGCAAGATCATAGTAGGCATTCTTGATTTCGCTTTGAGTCGCAGTGGGTAACACTCCTAAACGTTCGTAAAATGTCGCTGCTTTCTTCGTCTTTGGTGGTTCTTTTGGCTCGTATTGTGCAGCAAATTTACGAAGATAAATGCGATTATTTTTCCTGAACACATTTGGGGAAAAATTAAATTTAAAACCTTCGTTCGAGAATAATGAGTAGGTTAAACATCTTCGAAAACTCATGACAACTTCGGAAAATCGTTTATAAGATGTCACAAGCGGCTAAAGAAGAAGGGACCACTGGAAGGGACTCCTCACAGAAGTTTCAAATTGGCCGCCATATTGAATTCCGAGTTCCAACCATTAGAATCTTGGGCAATGGGCACTAGTATGTTTGTTGGTAATATAGTAAAAAGTCAGTAATACCAGTACTTCCTGTGTCTGACTTTCTAACACTTTTTGTGGTCATCAATACATAGAGAATAATGCATTTATTTCGAGTATTAAGAAACCTCGTGCAGTCGCAGTGAACTAGTGATCCCACAAATGGTTCGTCTAGGGGTGACGACAATTAATGGCCTCGTACTGACAAGGTTGAGCCAGACCTACTTCCATGGACAGGCCTATTTCTATGGAGAAGGCCTACTTCAAAGGAGCAGCCCGTTTCTTTTGGAGCAGGCCTACTTCTATGGAGCAGTCCTATTTCTACGGAGCAGGCCTAGGAATAGGTCTATTTATATGACGCAGGCCTCAGGTTTAAAGAGAGTGTACTTGCTTCAAAAAGTGTGACGTCGTGTCACTTGTCAGTTGTGGGCCACCATCAAATTATATTTATCCTAATGAAGTAAAATGACACTAACAGCGAGGCTTTTATTAATTAGCTTACGTACTAAATTAGAAAAATAATAATTATGTCTGCATCTAGAGTACTAATCACAATTATAATCAGTGGCGTAGCCAGCCCGACAATTTAGTCATGCTATGCTAATATTTTGGTGTTCATTGACTGTGAAAACAATGTATTTCTGAAGAAATGAATAATGATAATAATGAAAAATTTGCATAGCATGACTAAATCGTCAGGCTGGCTACGCCACTGATTATAATCACCAAGGACTTCAATATTTCTGCTAAAGATGAATCAAGATTCAACACATGAACAAAACGTATTAAATTAGAAAAAGAATAATCATTATGCATGTCTGCATCTAGAGTACTAATCACAGTTATAATCACCAAGGACTTCAATATTTCTGCTAAAGATGAGTCAAGATTCAACACATGAAGAAAACGTATTAAATTAGAAAAAGAATAATCATTATGCATGTCTGCATCTAGAGTACTAATCACAGTTATAATCATTAAGGACTTTTCTGCTGAAGATCAATCAAGATTCAACACATGAACAGTACGGAAAATTACAACAAGGTTGACGACGTGGGCTCCACCATGCATTCGGGAAACCCAACTGCCTTGGAACTACCTTAACTCCCTGCATGTGCTTTTCCATCGCTTCCTTGATCGTTGTGACGACGTCTTGATATTGCGCAGTGTCGAGCGGCTGTGTCTCGTAAGGGTCATTAGTAATATCATAAAGCAGTGGAGGATTATGGTGGGTTACATGCTCACCAAAACATAGACATGTCACGAATGTTGATTGGCAACCTTCCGTACCCGGATCCCAGTTTGGTGTAATGAAGTGTGCCTTCCAAGTCACATCTCCCGTCTGTGGCCTATATCTCACCGCATGAACGGCAGTACCACAATAGTGATACATAAATTGGTGGGGTGATACCAGTTCTTCTTGCTTTAACAAAGGAAGGATGTTTTTGCTGTCAATGATTCTGTCGGTAGGAATGTTGCTACCAGCAATCTGAATCATGGTTGTGAAGATATCCATTGTGTTTGTTGGTTCGTTGATTGTGATTCCTTCAGGTATGTGATCTTTCCACATGGCGAGCGTGGGTACGCGGATACCTCCTTCCCAACTTTGGCCTTTTCCTGAGAGTAATGAAACAAGCATTCCATTATTAATTTACAGTTATAATGCTACAAGTTATAATTTGGTTACAAGAGACATCAATGAGTGAGAGAAGAATTATATTAGGTTGTGGAAGAAATATTTGAACCCTATTATCAAGCCTGGCGCATTTGAAAAACACGGCTGGGCTAACAACAACCTGAAGGAGAAACTCAGTCAAGAACTGAGCTATCACCATCCTTCTCGAGGACCTTTTAAAGAGTTACGTCTCAATTTCACAACCAGGTTCTAGCATTTCATTGAAAAATAGGTTGTGAATAAGAGAATAATTCTGTACCTAATTGCGTGCATTAAGAGGAATAGTGAACGAAAATATATTTGTTATCAACATTGTTTAGTGAGGAGATTATCTCTCAAAAATCACGCAATTCATACTTACCTCCTCTGTAACGTCCCTTCGACCCACCACAATATTCTCCAGTATCAACATTCTCTTCGAGAAAAGGTCCATGATCCGATGTGAAATACACAAATGTATTATCCAACACATTTTCCTTTTTAAGACTTGAAATGATCTCTCCTACACTCCAATCCATTTCTTCGACATTGTCACCATAGCGACCATGAACACTGTGGCCTTTGAACCGTGGGGATGTGAATAGCGACGTGTGGACTTTGGCGTAGGACATAAAAAGAAAAAATGGTTTGGCTTTGTTCGTGGTAATGAACCGTTTCGCTTCGTCTGTGAACCTGAGTGTTAGGTTTTCCAAAATAAGTGGCTGTTCGACAACCTCGAATCCTCGCATTAGTACACAAATAAACTGGGTAAAAATTAAGTTGCCAAATAGAACTGGAAGGGATAGAATCAAGAATGAAAAAATGAATAGCAGAAACGCCATTTTTCTGGAAAGAAACCCAATCCACATTAAAGCTATCCAAAATATTACATTGGCTATCATAAGCGGTTTTACAAGTTTCTTTATGTAATCTGTTAACCTAGAACCGTCTTCTTTTGAACCACAAGCAGCACGGATATTTGTCAAAGGTAATCCGTAAAATTCATCAAATCCATTGTTCATTGGGTGATGGCAGCCATCTTTGTCGTCCATACAGTTCAATCCCAGGTGCCATTTACCAATCATACCTACAATATAAGACAACAGATAAAACGTTGAATCATAAAAAAATTGAGTATGTGAAGAATATTGAATCGAATATATCCGGTTAACTCGAACTTTGGTTTCGAATCATAGATCAACAAACTTTAAAATGTGGGAAGATAGCATTTTGACAACTGGAAACTATCGAAATAACAACAAGTTAATCGGTCATAAATCAAAAGATTTTCTGTAGTGCCACGGTCGTTATTGATCTAGCTTTTTAGTTCCTTTTGTATTCTTTCGATCTTTTTAATTTAAAAACGTCGTCCACTCTCGGTGACCATTCATATTGGCAGGCATGATATCTCTTGAAGAATGATTCGATTGGACTTTATATCTTATTGTATTACTTATAATAAACATAATCTGACACCAACTCCGGTTAACTCGAACCCCCAATAACTCGAACAATTTTTCTTTCCCCTTGGGAGTTCGGGTTAGCGAGGGACTATTGTAATAATAAATAATAAATAAATAAGTTTAAATTGATTTTGTAAACTTAAAAGTTTGAAATATAAGCGTGTAACAGTGAATGCAATATATATATTAATATATATATATATATATATATATATATATATATATATATATATACACCCATTTGCAGAAACGTTGGCCGCAGATAGATAGATAGATAGATACTCGAAGTCTAATTAGAATTGCATATGATTACATTTGCATGGGATTTCAATCATATTACACAACATATGCAATTCTAATTAGACTTCGAGTATCTATCTATCTATCTATCTGGGGCCAACGTTTTTGCAAATGGGTGTATATATATATATATATATATATATATATATATATATATATATATATATATATATATATATATATATATTAAATATATATATATATATATATATATATATATATATATATATATTTATATATATATATATATATATATATACCCGCGCTCACGCTGGGGTGGTGCCTGAGCAGCAGCCTGCACTCTCTCTGCACTACCGGCGCTAGCACCGCCCCAGACTCCAGTTTTAGTGCACGGCGACGACAATTGTTCGCGGAAGCAATAATTAAAATAGAATCACCTCGTCAAATCACAAACGAGATTCCAGACTGCGTCCCTATTGATCAGCTTTGTGTATACGTCAATCCTTGCACAATATTCTATTTGCTCTGCATTTTATAGAATTCCTGTATCCCTAATTCATATGCCTTAATTTTACCTGTTTTATAACCAGATTCCTGCAAAACTTCGGCGATCGTTGTTTCGTTATTTTGCAACCCTCCGGACGTTGCTATGTTCAAGAATACTCTGGTTTCTCCTGGCCCTGAACCCATTCCTGAACGAACTGCATAGCGACCAGTCAGCGTTGCTGCACGGCTTGGTGTACACATCGACTCCGGCGCCAAATTATGATTCAATTTCGCCCCGTGTGATGCGAGATTATCAATGTTCGGTGTTTTAATTGTGTCATTACCAAAACAACCAATATCACCAATACCCAAATCATCTACCAAAAATACCACGAAATTCGGCCTCACGGCATCCGGAGTAAGCCCTGCTGACACCAAACCATGGCTCAGTAAAAGCAATAAAGAAAGAATTCGAAACGTATGATTTTGAATCATACTGGACCATTAAATACAAATGCTGCCAGACGGTTTCAAGTAATTATAGGCAGTTCAGGCAACTTGCGCAATAGCCATGCGGCATCGCTAATAAATATCGACGTATCAAATTACAGTTTATTTATAGCATTTGACTGCATAGCGAATAATGGTTTATCTGCTGCAATGATAAAATTTCTCGATCAACTTCAGTAGCCATTTACAATAACATTTCTTACACAATTATCAAGTGGCCGCGAAACTCGCCCAGCACAATATAATTTCCTCAATCAAGACTATCATATTCCCTCACCGCTTGGGAGTTCATATGAAATCAATCAATCCATAGTTAACTATGATCAATCTAACTGCCGGCATTAAATTTCGTATAGAAGTAATGTAACTAGACTACCTACTATACGTCGTAACTTCGGGCATTAAATACTGATTAGATATTAAAACACATAACAAGATATAGCAAGAAATACAGCTGGATATTCCAATAATGCATGATACAAATAAAAATATGATAAAAGTAAATTTCTGCATACGACTCTGTCGATACATTTATTTGGCTATTCATGAATCATGATGACTACATAAGCCACAAGACCTAGCTGTGTCATGATTCCATGATGCATGGATGACGAAAAGAAAAAAACAGCGAGCTCACAGGCGAAAATTAAATTCAACGTGGAAAGTTAAAACTAAGACAAAATTTTAATGATATATTTCTGTACAGATATTACATTACACTCTACCGATATTCTATAACTCAGATCTTTTTGAGTTTACAATTATAAACATACTACAAAATAGCCACTCGAAATAGGCGATCAACAATAAATGTACTTTTAGGTCGATAGGAAGGTCTACACAGTTTTAAATTTGCAAGCGTTCGCAATCGCGGAAACTTTTTGGTTGAAGACTACAGGAAGAAAAAACACCTTGAGAAACCCTGCCCAGCCAGCACTGATACCACTAATTAGTTTTTAGTTGCATATTAATATAAATTATATTGCACAAAATGCATTGAATATCCCACCTATCTATATTTATATGACTATCCAACATTGAAATGTGCCATTCGCCAACTCAGGCACAAATCCAGGGAAGAGGGGCGTATCTGGTATTGGTTAATATTTTTGCATAAAATTGGGTTATATATTATCAATAAATTACGTCAGAGAACAATATCCACTACACCCCTGCACGACTGAACTACCAGTGTTCGATAGATCAACACTTCCTGACGTCTGGCTGTCTTTCTCCCATAATCCCGGTGTTTGGATTATCTTAAAAAACACACGTCAGAATTGAGATATAAAGAACCGGCAGAGCAATGATTGAAAAAGAGGCGGATGGCAACAAAAGTTATCTCTAATAATCGTGTACGTTTGCAAGGCGAACAACGATGAACGATATATATAATTATTACCATATAGCTAACTGCAAAATTTACGGTTTGTTAACTCAAGCCTTAAGGCCAGTTTCCACTCAGAAGATTTCTCCTTTGGATCGGACAGGACAAGACAGGAAAGTTTCCTTTGTATAAACGCCGCCTGATAACTCACCGACAAAGGAAATTTTCCTGTTCCGATCCAAAGGAGATTTTTCCTGAGTGGAAACTAGCCTTTAATGGTGCATTTGACATGATTCTGGATCACCATTGAAAAAATACGAAGATGAGTCCACCATTATGAACGATTTCGTAATTTCTAAAGTGTTCGCTCTTCAGGAACTGAATTTCTACTATTACTGTAATGCGACCTAAGTATAGTATGTTCTGCGATTTTCATACAGTACAGTAAGTGTAGTAACAATATTTTCATAATTCAAGAAACTGACCTTTTCGACAAGCTCTTCAAATGCGTACTGTACACCGTCTTTTGTCTTTGCACTGCATTCTATAAATAACATTTTGTTCCTTCTTGCAAACGTCATTCCTTCTTGGCGATCAACTTCACGATTATCCTGTATTCGTTGAAAGAAATAGCAACCTTTGACAATGCATAGTTTAATAAACAAACTGAGATAAGATATTACGTTTATCCTGTCACAGGAACAGGTACTATACCGCTGTACAGAGAGCAGTGGGTATTATGGGGGGACCATCATCATATCCCACGATTTCCCGGTTCATGTGCGTATAGTTGGATTATATTGACTATTGCATACACTATTCGAACACAACACTCCAAATTCTACATCGTGGAAAATTTGGATCTAAACTAACACTTAGTTCCAATAGCAATTATACAGGTAGTCTGAGGTAGAGTATATAGTAATACTCTACTCTACGTGCTTACCTTGTCTATTTTATTTCCTACTAGCATTTTGATAATGTCACGTTTTGTAGAATATACTTCAACTTCATTCAACCATTCTTCTAACTTGTTAAACGAGTCTCGGTTGCTTGTATCGTACACTAAAGATGAGAGTAAAATCACATTTGCCAGGAAAATTTTGGAAAAAATTTTTGACTGATATGCTCACAACATAATTTGGCAAAAACACTCAACTTATATTAGAAACACACTGAAAAAATACTGCTATGCAGTTGTCAGAGTAACTATTATTATCAATATATTTACCAAGGTAATACTAAGATCAATAAAGTGTTTCAATCTTACCTAATATACACCCTTGTGCACCACGATAATAGCTAGGGGTTAAAGTTCTAAACCTTTCTTGTCCTGCAGTATCCTAAATGATAAGGAATTTTGGTAGAATCCAGTAGCAGAGGTGCCTTTCTTTCTTTCTCCTTCCTTCCTCTTTTATCTTTCTGACGAAAAAATTCTTTAAAAATTTCCTGTGGCCTGCTATTTTTTCCACTGCTAGAGAATGATCTATCCACAAACAGTGATTATTTGGACAGCAAAAAGCTTCAGGCAAGTTAGGCTAACTATGTAATTTTAATGTTAATTAAGCTGCAGTCTCTTTTTTAGTGCTAGAAATATTTAAAAAGATGCAAATGGTATTATATCATGGGAGACAATAATCAGCCCCCAAATCATTTGTACACATTATCACTTCTCTTTATTATCTTGTTAGAACTGTATTTACATATCATTTTAAACTTCATAATGCTTGTCTTTTTTATTCAAGCTCTCCCACTACTAAATGAGGGACAATATCTGAGGACTGCAGAACTCAATCATTTCTTTAAGAAGCCTGCTTATGCATATATAACTGCTGGCTGTGATTTACTATTTGGTGCATTGACTAAAGTAAAATGCAAAACAATACAAACCCAAATAGCTAGTTTCACTCTGTTATCATCTATTGTAATAGTCTTGATTTTGAAATCTACTCCTGTTAAGATATTTAATAGAGTTATGTAATATTCTTGTATGGACATAAATATTGTCTATTTAAGTAGTATTTCACACTTTTAGAATTTACAAATGTATGATTAATTGGTTAATTTATGGTGCTGTCAAAGTTGGGAGGGGATCTTCCTGGTTGAAGGGAGCTAAGGGAAATGAGAATTGCTGCTGCGAATGTCTCATTGCCAACAATGAAAAATCAAATGAGCTAATATATAGTGCTTGATCCTTACCGATAGTGGCTCCTAAATCTGGGTCAAAGGTATCATCCACAAATCGTAGGAGTAAGCTAAATAAAAATAGTTCAATCAGGTATGTCATGGCTCTCAAACTAATAGGATAGCCCAAACCATTGCTAGCTGTTTGATGTTTGCAAAGAGGATAGATTCTAGACCCATGTGTTTTACATGCAAAGTCAGAGGATAATTTCTCCACACTTTTATACTCAAATAGAAGAGTATATAACTGAAATAGCAAAAAATGGAACTCAAATAGAAGAGTATATATATAACTGCAATAGCAAAAAGTGGAAGAGAAATATACTCATATAGCTAGAGTGTATAACGTTTCTGAAAGATAACAGGGGTGCTGTTAGAAATTTTTTGAGGGGTCAAGGCCCAGGATTTCCACTCTTACTACCAGCTTCTAAAATCTAAAATCTACTCCCAGCACCACTGAAAGATAACTACTCTTCAACAGTTTGTCTCACTTATCTAATGCTTCAATTCAAAAGCAATAAAATATTTATACATGATAATATTTATACCCAACAATTCTGAACAATCCCAACAAGGTATGTGGCATGTACACGATACCGTGCGTTATAATTTATATTATAGTATGTACACTAATTTCTTCGTTATATGTAGCATGTACACTAATTTCTAAGTTTCATTGCCCTTTATAACAGTTGGATGTTTTATATCAGTTGGATGTACGGTAAAATATATATAGTACATCCAGTTAATACTTATACTTGGAAACACATGCCAAAATGAAAATTTCTATTCACACAACTGGTGTGAATACGTTTACATTTTGGTAAAATTATCAATTCTATTAAATAGGAATACCGGGACAATCTAATAACCAATAAAATCCACAACCAAGAATAATAATCTTAAATAACCTGGATTTTCCGACACCACTTTCTCCTATGATTAAAATCTTTAAAGTAGCCAAAACATCAGCATCCATCTTTTGTTTTGTTGTTGTTTTTTTGGAATGCCAAAATTACGTCATCTTGAATCCACGAATTACCAGCGGAGTAAGAAGCCAAGTTTACTTCACATAATCTAAAATACAAAGAGGAACAGTTCGAATCAAACATGGGTGAAAGGAATGGGTGGTTGTGACGCGAATTTCTTCCTCTGAACTCTGAACAGCAGCGTTATTTTACATCTCTTTGAATGTTCATATACCACCCGATCATACCACCCGAAGTCTGCACCTTATCACACTAAACCAACTGTTCAGTGGAGGTAACCTAACCGTGCTTTGCGTTTGAAAGGCCGGGGTGCACCGTGACCCGAAAAAATTTTTTTTCCAACTCGTGGACTACTTCTCTTGCTGGCGTTAAATACGCTATTGGCTTCCTTGCGTGCTCATGCCTCGCTATATCCGCTTGGTTACCGCGTAACCTCATTATAACATCTCAAATTTTTGCTTTATCGTCCCCACTTTAAAAATTAAAAGTTCGTATTATAGCTATGTATTGAATTGAACAACATCTTATCTTCGTACCCAGGAAAAATATATGTTCTGATGACATATCTGGACAACCTTGAATACTGGACCATGCTGCCGCAATGATAGCCGTTAACTTTTCACTTTTTCTTAGGTACACTATGGGCGATTACACGAGTCAGTAGCTGAAGGCTGAAGCTAGGCACTCCCCCAGCCTAATCACTGATATATACAAGCCTGTAGCCGTAGGAGACTGGCCATACACTGTTGCTTACCCGATCCCATGAACCAAGCACGCTTTCAATATCTAAGTCTAAGCCAATCGCTGCCAACATACATGGCTTTTATTCGGCGATCTCATCATACCCAGGTCCTCCAAGTACTACGTTCAACAATGCGGAAAAGGCCTGGATTCGAGGATGTATTTCGCGACTGAGGAGTGGCCACTCAGAAATGTATTGATAATTGATGACGTCTTTACGAGGATCAAAGAAATGATAAGGAGTAATTGACAGTCTTTATGGAAGTTTTTCACAGACGTGTATTCAATTAAATTAAAGATTAATGATCTCTTAGATAAGTTAAACAAGCATGTTACTTAGGATGCTAATCAGTTTTGTGGGACGTTATTTATGTTTTTGGGTCGGTTGTTATGTCTGCAACAATATTGTGTAAAGATAAAAGTTACGTTTTTTCTTAAGGTTCTCATTTCATTGCGGTTCTGTTTCGCTCGAGCTACATCTAATCTTAACATTATTTATTCAGTCGATCAACATCCATACCCATTACAAGATACCGAAAGTGTGAAGTCGATCCAATTTATCCTCAATTGTAAATACGGCCCGTTTTTCAAGTGCGCACGATGAAGGGTTGAAATAAATTCTCTTCATTTTCATATTTGAATAACGTAAAGCATACAAAAAAATGGAGTTCCTAAGATCGTCATTTTCCGTTCCTATAACAGGTTAACGGTTGTAAATCTTTTAAATACAATCAGTATAAGCGAATTAAATATTAGTGAATGAGCACTGCCACTGGGAAGTAACATTCATGCATTTGATAATTCATGACATGAAAAGATTAACTTTAGAAAGGGCAGCAGCTTGTTCACAATTCATCACATAAAAAGATAAATCGAGCCATTTAGTATTGAGCGGCTGAACAGTTGCTATTTAAATTCATTGAATTTGTACAAAACTAAAAGTCGATCAGAGCCATCATTGGGAGTTGGGGGGGGGGAGTAATCAGTGGGTAATACCTTGCGGTATACAGGATCGCCAATTTTGGCACCAAGGAAACTGGAAAAAAATATGCAAGAGTTAAGAACTGTACACAGTACATAAGTTTATAAATGATTATAGTTGTAAGTTTGATTGGTCAATATGAGTAAATTAAACTTAGTTCTAATAAGACCTTTCAATTTGAGTAAGATGAATTCTAATTAGGTAAACCAGTTATTAATCAACCTACTATGACAATGGAAATTGAGGCAATCATGCTATTACACAGATATAATGTCAATAATTGGCAATTCAATGTTTCATGAATCGTCAGAATTGTTGAATTATCAGTTTGTCTTGTCAATGTTGAAAAGCTAAAAAGTGCAGCATTCAGTAAAAAACTCGTGAATTGTTTGTAATCTAGCTGTGTGTGATAGAGCCTGACAAATCGTGGAGAGAAATCGAAATCATTCCAATGAAATTACGTTTGACTATTCTTTGCTCAAACTGCAGTTTTCAACCAGCATCATAAATTATGCAACCAAGGACAATCTAGCCGCATGTTGGGGGCAAAACCACCTTAATTACGTATCTTTCCCGCTGAGAGTACTAAACTTATTGACGTGCTCACCGCATTCAGGTGAATAAAGCTGTATTTGTATTTGTCTTCCCCTGTATTAATATTAGGTAAACATGTTTTTGAAGAATGAATGATATCTTTTATTAATGACTACATGTAGGTTTTGTCTTGCCTGCTGATATGCAGTTTTCGGTTTTTCCAGTAGATCCCATTATTCTCTGCAAAGGTATTACAAAATCAACAACTAAGCAGGCCTTAAATGACACGAGGCAAATTCAACCGAGATTAGTGACGTGGAACTGATAATAAATCACCAACGCTTAATTCGTTTTTAAGAATCCCGAAAAAATTCACAATAGATTAGCACCCAAGCTGTTTCAAGCCGTTATTTCCTGTAGAAAATTCGAAAATAAAATAATGACTATATTACCTGTGGAACTGTGGAAGTCCCACTGTATTTCTAAATCTAATCATTTATCGAGGGTGAAGAGAAAAGTTTTGAATTATGAACAGAAATATAATTATTCTGAATATCCTCATCCATGTTAGGTTTTTTTTCAAGAACTGTTGTTAAATTTCAATTTTCAACATCAACTATATTAGCCTGCGTGCAGTCTCTCAGTGCACGCAGGCTACAACTATATACTAACATTAGCTGATGTGATATGCTGACATAATTAACATACTGACACTGTCATTAATTGTCAAAGGTTTCTTGAGACTTGACAAAATTCCTTGAGACTGAATGTATTGCAGCCTTTTACAGGGTAACTCGGCTCTGTAAGCCTGCAAAACTGAAAAAATCGTGTAATTGACAGATATTAAACCACATGCCCGCGGTACAGTTTCAAAACACAGACACGTTATCTTATTTCATATCGCTTAATTATAAACACAGTGACATATTAATCACTAAACAGTTGACGTATATTATGGCTATAATGAGTTTGATCGTAGGGGTCTATATACATCTGGCGTTTCAAAGCGTGTCTTGTTCTATTTCGGACGACTATAAACTTGTATAAATTTGGTCGGTGAAAAGGGCCTCGAAAAGGGCTATATTTATCCTAATTAACGCGCTCTCGTACTAAAGAGGATGAAAAAAGTCTGGATTGTTTTCGTGGCTATAGTGTGTTTGCGTGCTACGGTACAAGGTTACACGCCAGATCCTCACAATAGAAAACCGAAAGAATATTCGTCACAGCCTCGCGACAAGATTCTACAACGTCGCCGTCGACAAATCGCCAGATTAAATGGAGACTTTAAACTTGGGGCAATGCTGCCAATTCACATTTCTAAAGCAGGGCTGTGCTCAGGAATATATGTTGACGGTATTATGCTAGTGGAAGCTATTATTTTCGCCCTGCGAGAGGTTAAGCATAGAAAATTGCTTCCGGAAGGAATCACGCTTGGATATGAAATACGGGACACTTGTAATTCTGTCATTGTCGCGCAGCGCCACACGCTTGACATCGTCTTCGAGGCAACGGTATATGCTGAAAGAAATAACAAGTACATGAATGACAGTAACGACTCAACGTTATCGTATTCTACACGCGACTACAAACAATCAAGTAATAGTTTGATAGCCGTCGTGGGTGCTGGAAACAGCGAGATAACAGTTGCTGTCAATAGAGTATTAAGTGCTTTCAACATTCCTCAAATCGGTTTTGCTTCCACTTCGAGATATCTCAGCGAAAAAATGCGTTTTCCTTCCTTCCTCCGCACTGTTCCTCCTGATACGTATCAGGTGGAGGGTCTTGTTGCAATGTTCGAAACGTTTTCTTGGAAGTATGTGGGAATTTTGGTTTCGGACGGAGATTACGGGCGGCCGTTAGCGGACTCTTTTACGTCATCAGCTAAACGCAAGGGAATTTGCATTGCCTACGAGCACTTGGTGCCATTCCATGTTAACTTGGAAGATGCAAAATCTATTGTCAGAAGCTTGAATTCGAAAACGAACATAGAAATTGTTGTGATTTTACTTCCCGAGCCTGACGTTAAAACGATGCTCCTTGCGATGTTACACGTTGGTCATCTGAACAAAACGTTGATAGCGAGTGATTCATGGTCGAGAGCCATTAATGATTTGAAATTCTCAAAGGTCATCGCTGGAGCACTGGGCTTGGCACATCAATACAAGAAGGTAAAGAGATTTGAAGATTATTTTCTTAATTTGAAGCCGAACAAAAATTATTGGAACCCGTGGTTTAACGAAACTTGGGAGCATATATTTAATTGCGTACTGCCAAAAAGTGATCATAGGTATGGGAATAGAACTTTCCTGTATTCAAGAAAAGCGGAGAAGTTCTGCAATATTGAAAAACAGCACTTGAAGAGACAAAATTTCACAAGGTTTCATTATGTCAGTAGTATTATCAACGCCGTGTTTGCTGTAGCGAATGGACTTCGAAAGTTCCACGAGAAGAAACACATTTCTTCGCTAAGCCCAAAAAAGTTGCTGGAAACATTGCGAGAAATGACGTTTCAGAAATACGATGGTGAAAACATCACGTTTGATGAAAACGGGGATGTGACTGGCAAATTCAATTTAGTGAACATTCGTCCTGGTTTGTCGGTAAAAAATGTCGGAATATGGAATGGAGAATATCTGGAAATTGAAGATTTTAAGAGGATTTGGTGGAATACAAAACTTAGACAACCCCCTAATGGGGTTTGCTCCGTTCCATGCCGCGCAGGGTGGTATAAACTCGCGTCGAAAACTGATCCGCAGTGTTGCTGGACCTGTCAACGATGTCATGTTGGAACTATAAGTAACAGAACCGGGACGTCAAAATGCGTCCTTTGTCCCGAAAACCACACGCCAAACGAAAACCAAACCGCGTGTGTCTTTGTTCCCCTCGAATACCTGGATTGGCACAGCTTTTGGACGATTTCTATCGTGATTATGGCATTAATATCTGTGTTCATTCTAATGTTTGTCGCCATGTTGTTTGCGCGATTTGTTAACACGCCCGTTGTAAAATCGTCCAACAGGGAGCTAAGTCTGCTGCTGGGTATTGGTCTTTTCCTCACGTTTCTTGTGCCGTTTGCGTTTGCAGGTAAGCCGACATCATTTAAATGTATCATAAGTCAAATGATGTTTTGCATCGGTTGCGCCTTGGCCCTTTCTGCGATGTTATTCCGAACTCTGCGAATTGTTATGCTCTTCGAGTTCAAGAACCAAAGGCGTTGGCTTCTGAAGAATAAATACCAAATCGTGTTGACAATTGCGCTGACGTTTGCGGAGCTGACGTACTGCTTGCTCTGGGTGGGCGTGAACCCGCCCGGGGTAAAAACAGTAACAATACGTCCGACCAAACGGTATCTGGTGTGTGATTTCAATAAATATTGGTACAGCGGCTCTCACCTTTTACTGATATTCCTGAGTGTCGTGTGCACGGTTCTGGCCGTCAAAGGTCGTAAATTGCCGAAGAATTTTAACGAGGTTCGGCACATCGGTTTGAGCATGTTCACATTCAATATCGTTTGGGTCGTTTTCATGTGTGCACAATACGGCGCTTCGCTTGAATACGATGTGAAAATCAACTGCTTTGCAATGATCATCTCCAGTTTAATGATCTTAGTGCCGTTATTTGGTCCTAAAGTTTTCGTCCTGCTCTTCCGTGCGCACCTGAACAGGAAGGAAGAATTCGAAGCGGAAGTCCGCCGCTATTCATTCGGTGTCCCCAATGGTAACGTGTCAAGCTCCGCGACATCGCTCAGGCGTGGTTCCTCTGTAACATTTCGAACAGCGAATCCTTCCAATGATCAGTTTTTGAGCGTCGACACTGATGACTTTAAAAGAAAACGTTCGCAGAGCTTCGATGTAATGTCCACAAGACATTACCAGGCTTCCACTGCTAACCGTTCGCGAAAATTTTTTTCTAAGGGGACACAAACTAGTTTCTTTGCAGTCACTGATCTTGTGAACACAATTGATTTAGGGAAAGGCTTAGAAATTCCTCCAATCATTGTTAAATTAGAGGCGGAACAGGATAGTAATGATTTCTGCATACATGAAGGTAAATACAACAACGTCACGAATACCGAATCACCAGTCTTCAGGACTACTGGCGATTTCGAGGTAATCTTAGATGATGAAACAAATACTAAAACTCATACTATAAGAGGTAGCGCCCAAAAGAGACCGAACAAACTACCAGATGGCAATATGGCCGCAGATGAAAACGATGAATTGACTAATTTGTTGAAAGATTTACGGGTCCAAAATAGTGATATATCCCCAAAACGTGGAAACATTTCAGACAAATCATCTGAGGTTTCGAATAATGGAGAGCTAACGATTTTTGACACGAGTCCATTTGGTGAAAGAACTGACGAACCAGAGAGGACAGAAAATGATTTCTTACAATTCAATTTGAAACATGATGGTGTAACTAAACCCATAACGCTCAGTCAAAGAGATGGATATGACAGAGAAACTGTATTGTAGCTGGTTGGTTGGCTGGTTGACGCCTTTCACAATCGTGATGCATTGTTCATGATCAGAGTGCGCCGATGTAGTAAGGGCACCTGACTGATTGTTGATGAAAAAATAAATATGCATGACTATCGTATTCGTACGGTACGAAGTGATTCTCGTACGGTAAATAATTCGAAGAATAACGTTCTCCAATCGCATGTTCAGTTGTTCTCGATACTGGCTACAGTCATCCGTGAGGCCGATGCAAATATTTCAGTGCTCGTATAGTCTGTGAAAACAATCAATTTTCTGAAGAAACAAATAATGATGACGATTAAAATTTAAGATACCACGGTTCCGGCGTACATGTACGCGGCCATCTTGTTTGCAATTTTCTTGAAATATAAATTTAGATGTAAATTAAACTCATATAGTTATAAGTTATAAGTTATATTAGCTACAGACGATAATTAAAACTAGGTTCCTAACACTATAGTGGCTGTTTGGTGCAGCTTATTATTGTTATTTTTATTTTTATCATTATTACTATTATTTAAATGTAAGCTGTCTGCGATAGAGCGTTATATTTCAACCAAAAATGATATCTGGGACTTTCTGGGTTTTATTTATGATTACAGAATTTAAAATTAAAAACTTTATTAACAAAAGATATTCAACATTTTAATAACTTTGCTGGAAACATAATTCTTTAAAAAGAGAAATACAATTATTTATTCATGTTCAATAAATTTTTGTTTGAGTCGGCATTCTGTATATGTCAAGTCTAGACCCCGAAGCTCCGCTCCACTCTGCAAGAATTTAAAGAGTTATGTCGACAGGAACTTTCCCGATGTGCATGAACGAGGTTTCCAAGACCGATACATGTTTAATAATCAGCGGGCGCGCAAACTAATTGTTTCTAATAATCTCTAATAATGGCCTCATTTCTGCAGCGTCCCCCTAAGGTTGTTGTGGTTAGTTGAGTTTATTGCAGCTTACCACTTGCTTGCCCCATTTAGAGTGTCTACTTACCCACACTCTCTTTTTGGCCCATTTCAAGCAAACGAGTTGCATCGTTCGTCAAACCGTGACTTGATTCTCTTGATTCAGTGAAATAAATCAAAAAATGTTTTCCAAGGGCCCGATATTTTCCGAATCCTTGAATTATTTTATTTAGCAATTGGCAAGGAACAAGAATTTTAAAACGAGATCTCTCTAGGTCAAGATGAACTTAATTAGGAGTTCAAACGTTCCCACGCTTTGTCTACAACGGAAAACCAAACATTCGTAGGTCTGCTCGGAACGCCAAGGTCTGTTCAAAACACGAAGACTTATAATTGCGTGCTTGGAAAATAACCTAGCAAAACACTTATGTGACCTAAGTATAAATTCAAATCATTCACGAAGAAATTTATGTAAAAATATATAACTCGTGCTAAACCAACTACAAGTGTAAAATATTCAGCCTGTTTATCAATTCTCTTGTTTTTCGGTTCAAGTCATTATTTCAGTATCTATTTTCCGGCAAGAATGCCGGAATTCTAAAGCCTATTTATCATATATCGCGCAATCATCGCGCGGCGACTATATACCATTGCCGGTTATCACTGAAAAATATACTGCTTTGATATTTTCACATGGAACCAATTTTGTCGTCACCAACCAATTCACCCAATTGGGCACTGATAATAGATTGCTGAATATCGGCGATATATGAAAACTATGCAGATTTCAAAGCTCATGCATTAATTCTGACTAATTCATTGAGTGTGACACATGCAGAAGTGTTGTTCTCGCTTATCGATGAGAGATTTAGGAAAAACTATCAAAATTAAAGCTTCAGTCAAGGTGAAATACCATCGTGAAATACCAATTGGTTACGAAATAGTTAATATGAAATAGTAGCGCGTACGTAACGTTATAATTGGATACAGCTAAGCGTTACTTTTTAAGAGCATTGACTTGCATGAACATTGACTTGTCTATGGTTCTGGTCTACTGGATGGTCTGTTTGGAAATGATATGACAGGGAGTGCATGTGGTAGAGATAATGTGCGAGAACTTGTTAAATACCTAGCATATATAGACTATAGTATAATCTAATCTGTACCTGCCACAAGAATATTATGAAAGGTATATACGTAAGAAGTTATATCCTTTATAATAGGATTTGGTTTGACTTCGCATGCATTTAATTACTAAGGCTGGGTATTTCAGTTCGTCTTATTATAATATACTGTTCAGTGTTCAGTGAACTGACGAGGCATGTATATGAAATACACGCGTAAACACTGGTTATATATTTATTTTTGGTAGACTAAAAAAACAAATCAAGCTGCCGTCACTTAGACTTAGTCTTTGTGGTCAGGCTTGATTATTTTTTTAGTCTGATAACACATCCAAATATCTATAATCAATTATAACACGTCCAAATATCTATAATCATCACAGACTATAATATCTGTCGGTCGCATAACAGCTGGTCGAAACTTATAATTTCCGCTCTTCTTGTTTATAGTGAAATTCTCAAATTAGATTCTTAGCTCTAAGCTCTACACTTCATGCACTTCTTTTCAGAAAATCCTTAATATATTCTCGTTTTAAAAAAAATATTTCAAGTTGACCGAGCTATTCTACGTAATCAGTTGTTATACATGTTTTTGGCAAAAATAGTCCGTCAGGGATTTTCCTGTTTATTTCCCCTTTTCTGCATGTACTTAGCGGCGTACCGGGTAATTATAAACGAGCATGTTTGCCAGAAAATGCGTGTGAAGCCGGTTTATTATACCCGAGAGATGGATGAGAGCAATTGACCCCAAAATTTCCTGCTCTCTATCAATATTTAATATATGGCAAGGTGTGGCAGACACCGGTTGACTTTCCGCAAGGCAATTATGGACAACGATTCCTGGTAACGAGTCCAACGATTTGTGTGTATATGTGCACGCATATACATGCAGATGCAACTGAGCCGATGTCGCTCCAAAGGCAGTTAACGTAAAAAGTAAACCAAATTTATGTGTAAGTTTTCAAATTCAATTCAAGGTAAAAAATTCACATACAATTTCACCTTTCTTCTTTAATTCATATCTTGTTTTCAAGATGGCTTAATTCTTCGGAATTTGTTTTTCTTAGATTGTGATAAATATCGCAATTTTTATTCACCATTCACGTCATGATTATAAATCCACGTTGTTCTTATTCCTAAATCGGTGTACAGAACCGTATTCTGGAAATCGCACGCATATTTGTCGGAATGCATGTATGGCTTCCGTCAATTCAAAATCGATCGTGTGAAGCGGATATGATAATTAAGAGACACACATCGTGGGTGGGATAGACGATGGTTCATGACACCATGCAGTTAGAGTTGTCACATTTAACCTATAAACAGCATCGTGCTAAAAATATCGATTGGTCTGTGTAAATCGGAAAAATTGAACTCTTCCAAACATCAATTTCACATGAATGTTTTACATGACTAAAGAAAGCAGATTTTATGTGAAGAGTAATCTCTTCCGTAATATTCTTGTATGTTTGCATGGTGACAGTCGATAAGTAATTTAGCTTGTAAGTAAGTAAGTACACCACGTAAGTATTTAATACTGCATAAAAAATGAAATAAAATGCAGTATTAAATGCTTACGCGGTGTACCTACAAGCTAAATTCCCTAATCTCTTTAGTGTTTTAAACGGAAGGACAAACAAGCTATAGCTAACCGGACAAAAGCAACGATTATGATCAAGTCGTTTTGGGCAATGCATGTCCCCATGTTCTATGGCCGCCGTATCAGCAATTTTGGCCACGTCAATATATATTTCACCTGTTTCAAATAGGGAGTATAGTTCAGTGGGTGACCAACGTTAGCAACCTAACTTTACTCTCTAGCTATACTGATGTAAGAAATGTGATCGGGTATAACAGTTGGTCATAGCTAATTTTAAGAATTTTTTATCACTGCACATCACAGCAGGTATAGTAGAGGGGGGGGGACACATGATAAATATGGTTCAAACAGGAAACAGGGGTCTGTAAGACCTCCTACAGAAAATTTTCTGTATTTTTGAGTCCCTATGACTTGATTTCCAGCATTTTGGGTGACAAATGACTATTACCGACGAATCCATCTCAGCAGTGTGAGGTCTGTTGCATGAGAAAATACCATTTATCACTGCACATTTCTCATTTTATCACTGCATATTCTACTTTATCTCTGCACAAATTGGTTGTCACTGCACACTAAAATTAGGTACAGTATGCACTCGGTTATATTGTACCAGCAGATTCTAATCAGGTCTCACTGAAAGACATTGAACACTGAGCCAGAGGATTGATTTTGTGCGCTTGTGAAATCGGCTTGCAGTATTTATAATTTCCAATAATAACCTTGAGCGTTGTCACAGTTGGCTTTTGCTGATCAAAATATATACCTTTTCGGTATACTAGTTACAACTTCATTTTTTTATCACAAAACTACCTTAAGTGAAAAAGATAAGCCTTACGCAGGCATATATGTTTAGATTCGGATCATCTCGCTTAGTTCAACACGGCATGCATGAAATATTTTTTTCAATATTTTTAAATGAACATAAGCTTTACCGCTAAGTTGACTAGTTAAGCCCCCTTAAACAATTTTAATTGCATTCAGTTTCAAAACTATAAGTATAAACAACCTTCAGGCACTGTTTGATTTAACTCAACACCGTCGGCAAATTCTAAGTAACGTCACATCGTGTGAAAACGTGCCCTTTGTTTTCTATTAAGCCAAGGAAAATAATCGAGTTAGATTTCTAATGGGCCATTTCCTTTTCGAGAAACATTTATTTTAATTGGTTGTTTATGTTTAAATTTCAATAATTGAAATGTGAATATATGAATCAATTTTATTGAATTGCTCGCGGCCATTCAAATAACAGTTTCCATTGAAGAACATGCAGGCCAGTGGTTTTTCCCATCTTCATTGAAAAACAGTAAACCTTATTTAAACTGTTTTAAGTGATATCATATGTCAGGAACCATCTAAAACAAAGCGCACCCAACGCGATTTTGATTTCTTTTAATTCGGTCGATTTTTACAGGCATGGTCGGCGGACTAGAAATTTCTCAGTATGCGGTGTTTATATTAGCTAAAGGATTTTTGCCGACTG